CACATCTATATCATGACTCAGATAGAGATAAACACATCTATCATGACTCAGATAGAGATAAACACATCTATCATGACTCAGATAGAGGTAAACACATCTATCATGACTCAGATAGAGATAAACACATCTATCATGACTCAGTTAGAGATAAACACATCTATCATGACTCAGATAGAGATAAACACATCTATCATGACTCAGATAGAGATAAACACATCTATCATGACTCAGTTATAGATAAACACATCTATCATGACTCAGATAGAGATAAACACATCTATCATGACTCAGCTAGAGATAAACACATCTATCATGACTCAGATAGAGATAAACACATCTATCATGACTCAGCTAGAGATAAACACATCTATCATGACTCAGCTAGAGATAAACACATCTATCATGACTCAGATAGAGATAAACACATCTATCATGACTCAGCTAGAGATAAACACATCTATCATGACTCAGATAGAGATAAACACATCTATCATGACTCAGCTAGAGATAAACACATCTATCATGACTCAGCTAGAGATAAACACATCTATCATGACTCAGATAGAGATAAACACATCTATCATGACTCAGCTAGAGATAAACACATCTATCATGACTCAGATAGAGATAAACACATCTATCATGACTCAGATAGAGATAAACACGTCTATCATGACTCAGCTTGTGCTGGAGAAGATTGTCTGGTATATATCTGACCAACAGGTTTAAAATTACTCTCACTAACTAAATCTAACATAATTATTATAACTAAATTTATTTTCTTATTTCAGGACGACGCTGCAGCCAGGCTCCTCCCACATTGAGATCCTGCAGCCAATCAACGTCGAGTTGCTCGTCACCAGAAACATGGCCGCCTCCTGGTTCACTAAGATCCCGGGGGTCCAAGTGCAGGGAATCCTACGTTCCCTGAAGGTACCTCAGTGTTTATACTGTGACTCCACTGTTTCTGAGACCAGGGAATCCTATGGTCCCTGAAGGTACCTAAGTATATTAATCATGACCCAGCTGTTTCTGTGTCCTACAGTCACTGAACTTACATCTTTAAATGTTTGAACTCAGTTGTTTCTCAGACTCAGGAAAGTCTTACGGTCCCTGAAGGTACCTCAGTGTTTAAACCCCCACTCGACATTTTTCAGTGTCAGTGCTGATGTAGATTAAACTCTGGTTCCTCAGATGAGTCTGGGTGAGGAAGACCTCAGGGTGCTGATGAAGATCCTGGTGGAGAACATCGGGGAAGGAAGTGAAACACACAGCATTGACGCCAAAACACAGGTGGCTCAAGGTAACCAAGTGCATGATGGGATATCTCACTACAGACAAGTTGTATATAAAACCTCCCAGCTGAATCAGCTTCACTAATACACCTCAGAATAAGAGTTTTAACCCCAAGTGTCGCTCCTCAGAGGGGGGGGGACATCCTGAGCAGCAGGTGGAGCAGTCGTCCAATCAGACAGGGTCTGACAGCGCCTCACATGCCACCAATGGCGCTCTGACAGAGAACACCGTCAACGTCCTGCTGAACTTCGAAATCAAAGAGGTAGGTTTCTGCTGACTCATTATCATCACACTGGTTTTCCTGACACTCAGCAGTTCTGGTTCTTCTGGTCCTGGTTCAGGTTCTGCTGACGCTGAAGAAGCAGGAAGTGGCGTTCCTGGTGTTCCAGGCGGCTCAGCTGGGCATCAACACCAAAGTGAGGAAGTTTGACACGGTGGCAACAACCTTCATCAACCAGATCTCCCTGAGCTGCCCAGAGTTCAAAGGTCAGAGTCCACTTGATCTAGCACTAGCGTTAGCATCGCACAAACACACACACACAGACATCAAACTAAAGAACAGATCATGATTTCATGCAATCACAATTCAAGATAAGATATGACGTACTTTATTGATCCCAAGTTGGGAAATGTTTGCGTTGCAGCAGCATCAAAATACATGGCATTGTACAATACAAATGTAAAGACTAGAAATAAACAATCCAAAATGTAAACTTCTCAATAGAAATAAAATAGCATTTAAAAAGTAGAAAATATACAATTACGATATGGAGTGAAAACAGCAATGATCATGAATCGTGCAGAGTGCTGCAGCAGCTTGACGGGTTTGGTTCTCGTTTCAGACTCAAGCGGCGCCGCGTTGTGTCTCATCAGCTCCTCGGGGTCCGGATCGGAGCTGCTCAAAGTGCAGTACTTCAAGGTACAATGTAATCTGATTACCAGGGCCCAGGAGTTCAAAAACTTTTAATCCCTATCTGATCTGATCAGATTTGGATTTTGGGGAGTTCAAAACCAAAAAAGAGGAT